TTTCTGTGTCATACATACTTTTTATAAATATAAATAAATATTATTGGTGCATTAAAGTATTAATAATAAAATTATCAATCTGCATCCAAAATCTCTCCAATAAAATAAAAGCAGAGTGAGAATATGTTAATATTTCTGTGTTTTAGTGGAGTATACAAGTTAGTATTTGCGGATATGGACCCAGAGTATACACACGCACGCAGGCGCACTCGCCCCCCTACTCATTCAATCCCAACACGTCATTAACACACAGAACATTTGACATTATAACAAAACATTACTGCAGGGTCGCTACAGTACGTATATGTTTAATAATCCTATACTCGTAGTCGTCACGTTAAACACAACCAACAGCAATATGAACAGGTATACACCACATTACGTAGAAGCAATGTTATGAATATCCATAAAACACTTGACTATACATATTAGATGTAACACCAGAAGCATCTCTCAAACATTGCCTTTTAAAAGCAGTCAACAGAGGGATGTGCACTGCCATTACACACACACATACCGGTACTTTGAGTGGAGGCAGCACTCTCCTCTCTCTCCTCTCTCTCCTCTCTCTCCTATCAGCCTGGCATCGGGGTGGATGACGAAAAAGGGGAGAGATGGTGGACTGCCGCGTTACCAGCGCCCCATGAGCAGGTTTCAGGGGTTAGGTTGCCTCGCTCAAAGGCACCTCGGCAGTGCACAGGAGGTGAAGCTGGCACCTCTCCAGCTACCAGTCCAAAATGCGCGGTAATTGTTGAGCGGCTACATTGACGCAGGCTACGTCACGTACGTAGCCTAATGTTGTTTTCAGTAAGGCCGTGATAGGCTGTGTAGATTCCCATCCATCAAACAAAATCACACCATTGTTTTTTTTTTTTTATATTTTTAATGTTTTAATGATAAAGAATGCAACATTAGTATTTCGCAACACAAAATTAGCTATTATGATTTAAAATTAAAGTAATTTAAGAGATCTGTGCCTCAATTGGGGGGGCACAAGCATCTTTGGGGGCGGGCCATAGTGACGGGGGTGAGTATAGTATAGTATAGTATAGTATATATAAGAGGAGTATATATGGAGAATGTGTCAATATTTCTGTCCTGCATTAAAAAGATAAATAAAAAATAAAATAATTCTGCTTGATGGACCTTTTTCTGTGTCATACATACTTTTTAGATAAATATTAGTGCATTAATGGGTAAGAAGTGTGTCAATAGTGCACCATTTTAATCAATTGATCATGTTTTGTTTGCAATAATCCCAATCTGCATCCAAAATCTATCAAATAAAAGTGGAGTATGTAGTATAGTTTGTATATGAGAAGAGTATAAATGCAGAATAGGTCAATATTTCTGAGTTTTAGTGGAGTGCCAGTTTAAAATGACATGAAATTAAATTAAAAGTAAGATGTGTTCGTTGGTATCAACAAATAGGTCAATAAGAAACAAGAAACTAGTACAGATTAGTTTGTTTGTGATCATTTAGAAACAATTACATAGTTTGTCCAACAGGGAGCACTGAGAAGTTTATTTCTGACTTCCTTCTTCATGTTCATGTCTGTTCACGTCTAACAACAACAGTGTTGGCCTCACAAATCCAGTATCAGTCCGGCTATGAAATGTACTCGAAGCAACTTTAACTGAAATTAATTATATAGTCAGTAATGTCAAATGACCTGTTTCTGTTTGTTTGTAGATCAGTTTCCCTTGCTGACGACCAAGAGGGTGTTTTGGAAAGGGATCCTTGAAGAATTGCTTTGGTTTATCAAGGTGAGGATGATATATGACCCTTTTTTTTAAATGTCTTCACTTTCTATTAGTGGTAAAGAGTCATTTGATTGCTTACTGGGTTCAGGGATCAACAAATGCCAAAGAGCTCTCGGCGAAAGGGGTGAAGATCTGGGATGCCAACGGGTCCCGGGACTTCCTGGACAACCTCGGGTTCACAGATCGAGAGGAAGGCGACCTGGGACCTGTGTATGGGTTCCAGTGGAGGCACTTTGGTGCCGAGTACACAAACATGCATGCAGGTACAATATCACAGCCACACAGAGTTCACTGTGCAAGAAAATCTAGCCTCTAATTAAATCTCAAAGTATCTAGATGCCTCTTGTAAAGACTTAAACCTGCTGTGGGTAAATCTCTGTGCAGTTATTTTTAAAAGTAGGAGCATATCGGACAGTAGAGTAGAAAATAAACAGCATTTTTGTAACCTTGAAAGAATAGTTCAGTATTTTGTGAATGCCCTTAATTCTCTTTCTTGTCTGGAGTTGCATGAGATTGATATCACTCTCATATCTGTGTGGTAAATATGAAGCTGCAGCCAGCAGACTAGTAGACAGAAATGAAAAGTTTGTAGTTCCTTCATGTTACACTTGTAGAAAAAGATAACCATAGAAGAACATAAAAGATGAATAAAATAGAATAAAATCAACTATAAATACCATTATTTACATACACAAATACATGCAGGAAATAATTCTGCAGTGCATCTTTTTGAATTTGCATCTGGTTTAACAGCAGCAACAAGATAGTCATGATACGGTTTCATCTAACAGCTTGCCTGGATCTGTCTAAAAATAACAATTTGCCTTTCAGCTGCTCTACAATTCACAAATGTTACACATTATATCTAATTATTCTTTAATCTGTGCAAAAACCAAACCTTAAAGACGTCACATGGTTTTACGGGAGGCTATGTGTCGAAACTATTCCTCTAAACTCCTCCAAACATAACCAAACACTGTGCCTCAGATCTTAAATTGTCTCTTTTTTTCCTTTTCTTTTTCCTTCAACAGATTACACGGGACAAGGTGTTGACCAGCTGCAGAAGGTCATTGACACGATCAAAAAGAACCCAGAGGACCGACGGATCATCATGTGTGCCTGGAATCCCAAAGGTGAACCACGAACAAAACTAGGATATAGGAGTTCTCTCTTTAAATCCCTTTATAGTGATGTTCTATCATTTTTAAATCTATATCTCATACGTTGTTGCAGACATGCCCCACATGGCTCTGCCCCCCTGCCACGCCCTGTGTCAGTTCTACGTGTGTGACGGCGAGCTGTCGTGTCAGCTGTACCAGCGCTCGGGTGATATGGGCCTCGGGGTGCCTTTCAATATTGCCAGCTATGCACTTCTTACCTACATGATCGCACACATCACAGGACTCAAGGTAACTTTGTCGAAAGCTCTGATCTCATTTTAACGTACAGCCGTGTGCTTCATGACCTCACCTGTTGTTTATATTCTGTCCCTTCAGCCTGGCGACTTCGTTCACACTCTGGGAGACGCTCACATCTACATCAACCACAGTGAACCTCTAAAAGTACAGGTGGGTTGGTTAAACACAGTTGTTCTGCCTCTCCTGTGCTCTCTACTTGATCTCAAACTTACACAAGCTCATCTGTCTGAAATGTGCAGCTTCAGCGGGAGATCCGCCCCTTCCCCAAGCTGAAGATCCTGAGAAAAGTGGAGAGTATTGATGATTTCCGCGCAGAAGACTTTGAAATCTGCGACTACAACCCTCATCCTGCCATTAAGATGCAGATGGCTGTGTGAAAATCCCACTTTAATGAGGGATAAATATGGTGGGTGTGGGAAAGCGCTTTAGAAATCACATTGTTCTATATGTACTGTACAGGATGTCTTTCCCTCCCACTTTTAGAATAATCATACATTTAATTTACAAAGCACAAAAAAAGAAGCGAGTGGGTATTTTCATGTTTTTTTTTTTGTGAATTAAGACTTTAAGCCACACAGACAGATGTTTTCTTCTGCTAATTTAAGAGGGAAAAACAAACCTCAACTCATGTTGACCTTTATGTAGCTGAACTGCAGAAGTTTCATTACCAGCTGAGGAATGTTTTGCTTGCAAATGCCAGTTAGATTAGTTTAATTGTTCTAATATTAATATGTAATTTGTAAATAAAGGATTTACTCTTGTGTCAGCTTGTCGTGTACAGAATTGTTATTAACCAAACAGGAGTCTAGCATTAAAACATTTAATATTATTCTGAATTTGAATCATTTGTTTATGTGCAGCTTCCATACATCCCCTTCAGGGTACTGGTGTCTCTGCACCGATGACTCCAGCATCTCACAAGAATATCCTGGATCCTGAGAACAATAAACACAGTGTACTCAAATAAGAGCCTAAAGCAACAAGTGTGGATGTAAAGGAGAAACATTATTTTCTCTGTGCAATGCAGAGAGTAATTATAGTTGGTATCTGTTCTTCATCTTACCTTGGGGGGCATGTAGTGGGCGTCATGAATCACCACGGGACTGGTGAAGTGTTCGTGCAGGTGATCTACATATTCACACATTCTAGAAAGGAGGAAAAATAAACACCGGTGCTGATTATCGTGTACTAATCAGACACAGTCGAGAGCTCGCTTGCAGTCGACAAAAACAAATCCTGCTCTTACCGGTGGCTGAGACTTCCCGACACGCAGATGTAGTCAAACAGAATCAGATGCTGGACGAGCTCACAGAGGCCAACTCCGCCAGCATGAGGACAAACAGGCACTAAGGGAAAATATGTAGTGGTGTGTGTATATATTGTATTGTATTACAGTTTTTATATGCCAATGCTTCAGAGGCATGAAATCAAAAAAAGGTGGTAAAGGGTTATCCATCAATTCCAAATACGTTAATAGTTAAATTGTAAAAATTGTGTTTACACTTTCCTTTGACCTCCAATCAGGTCATACAATTTACTCATATTACTAGCTAGTTAAACCATCTATCTATTCTATAATTTAGCCATGCAACATTTCAATTTCCATGTTGTCCGAGGCAGTTTGGTCCTGAAAATGGAAAATGTTGCTCGAGGGAAAAATGGGAATAAATAAATGAATGAAAAAGGCAAAAAAGAAACAGGAAACCTAAGCAGCTGAAAAGCAAAATAGTGATAAATGGAAGAGAAGAAGTCAAGTTATTCTACCAACTATTTGGAGATTAAAGACATA